GCTGGAGATTCGTTAGCGTTCGCATTCTTTCGAAGTTACTTTTTTACTGTTTTCGCTAGTTTTTTGTTTTATGAGAAACCAGTTTTGTTGCCAAATACTAACGCGGCAGCAGCAGATCCGGCGGTAGTAGTCGCTATTGTAAAATCAACAACAACAAATGAAACAACAGTTTTTTCGACTGCACATTGTAGCATAAACAATGCTGTATCACCGGATTGCGAACCAAAGCAGTGCGGTAATGACCTCCGAATATGTAAATATATATGCACATGTACATATGTACATACGAGTATTTTAATGCACTCCTACATATCGTAGAAAATTGCTCACTATTCGTTCAATCAAGTAATATCCAAATGTGTTTTTTTCTTTAGAAATGTTCCCAACTCAATTCTTCATTCATAACTTAGATAATTAAATTTTCTCAAGTTGATCATGGGGAAATTTGGACCTTTGTTAGTTTAAAAATTTTCCATGGAATGTATGCTAGCAAGTATGTGGCTTAAATCTTTTGTACTGAATCGCTGGAATATTCATAGGCAGCTTTCTGCAGATGAAGGAACATTGTTTTTGATGTTTCACCCATGAAATAATCATTTTAATGTTAAATTCCAATCTCTCTTCGTATTCGTGCTTTCGTATTGTATGCAACAACCAGAAGGAGAAGATACTTACCCACCAAAAATTGGATCGATTTCATAGAGAGGCGAAAGGTAATGGATTTCGCTATATCTGCATGTATATTTTAAGGCAAAGTAGAGTATCAGCTCAAAGATATCTGAACGATATTTTGTAAGCAGAAAGGGAACTGTTCGAATAATTTCTTTGTTTTTGAGAGTGCTGCGATTTGTTTCGGTTAAGAATATTTCAAAATTTCGTTATAAGTTCATTAAATATTTTCCAATACTTTTAAATTTAATATAACGGCAAAATGCATACATATATGGAGCTGTAAGAAACGATCCTTCGTAGCCAGCGATTTCTTTTCTTTTTGTTCTTGCCTAAGAGAAACGGCCTTGGCGTGTGTGCACAATATTATAGTTTCCACGCAGAAAATAACCCAAAAAATAATTAAAAAATCTTCAATTTAAATATTTTATATATTTTATAAGTGCCAAGTGGTGGCCGCGGTAGCCGAGTAGTTGGCATTGCCTACTGCCACTCGGAGGGTCCGGGTTCAAAACCTGGTGCAACCAACATCCAAAAAGTTATAGAAAAATAATTTAAATAAAAAATTAAGTGTTTTTTTCTAAATGCGGCCGTTCCTTGGCGTGGAATGTCAGCCTCTCCAAGTGTATTTCTGACGTGAAATAAAGGCTCTTCTTAAAAACCCATCACCCATTCGGAGGCAACTGCAGTATAAACTGTAGGTCTCTCCATTTGCAGGAAAAACATCAAGACGCAAAATCACAAATAGGAGGAGAAGCTGGGAAAAAATCGCTTCAGGTGTTAAAAAAGCGCCCATTATTATTTAAATAAGTATCAAGATCAATCCCCCATCCAATTCTGAGCAAATACGTTTAGTCTCAAAAGTTTTTAAGCGAAGCTACTCTATGGTATCTTTGTATAGTGTTATCACCTACAAACAGCAGGTTAGGTGTGAATGGGAGAGTGCAGTGTATGTTCGAAAGACAACCAACCGCTTAAGTAATTCCAGCGGCAATTGTTGCTTAATATCAAATCTACTTAAAAGAACTGAGTTCGAATTTCATATTTTCTTAATTAGAATATCGAAATTAACAAATAAATTTAATCAATATATTTTTTATTCTCACATTTTATCGAAAGCAAAGTCGCTGATACGTAGATGAATGTTATGTGAATGCTATATTAATGTTTTGAAGCGAAATTTTTAGGAGCGCTTGTAATTTCATAATATCCATTCCACATAAAGGTAGCAATGTTAGCGCAATGTTAACTGGATCACTTAATTTTTAATTGTATATGACTACTTCCATAGCAGTTGAATCGAAAAGTATGTACCATCCTCAAATATTATACTCGCTTACACATATAAAATTGCACCTACAAACGATCACTTTCAGTATTAAGTACTCGTACGTCATCAGAAAGTCAACCATCTGTCCCACAAGATTTTCGTGAACGGAAAGCAAAACAGTGCGAGATCGGCTGATTCTATTTTATCAATTTGATACTGGGCACACACATATGTACATTTAAAAGTTCTATTTTTCGTTATTATGCCGTAAAAATGTATGTCGTTTTGCTCAGTACAACTCGGCTTAGGGCTTCGATCGACGCCATTAGAATCGATTTAGTATCAGGAAATTCCTTTACCTTTTTTTTTATCAGCATTTTTTTGGACGTAATAATGATTTTATTTGAACAATTTTAAAACAAAAGTTTAAGCTCGTTTTCCGATGAATAGATGCTTAGTCGTTATCGAGCGCAGAATTTTTCTAGCAATGTTGAGAATCAGAATTTATGCATAATAACATAACCAAAAATAAAATGGATTACCGCTAATATAATTTTATTCTATTCCTCTTCTTCTTCATATGCGTAGGCATCGGCTACGCGAATATTGCCGAATCAACAAGAGGGCGCCATTCGCTCCTTCTTTTCTCTGATAGGCGCTAGTTGGGAATCCCAATTCAAACCAGGTCACTCTCCACATGATCCTTCCAACAGACAACAGAGTGCGGGTCTTCCTCTTCCTCTGCTTCGGCTGGCGGGTATTGCGTCGTATGCTTTTAAAGCTGGAGCGCTTACATTCATTCGGACGACATTTCAAAGCTGAAATTATTTTTGGTATTAGCGCAGGCTTCTTTGTCATTTCCTCCAACGGTTCAGAGAAGTTCTCCTCAATTCCGACTGTAATTCTGGTGTCGTCCAGCTTTAAGTTACACAGCCGTAAAAGTTTTGCAGGAATACCAAATTCAGACGTAGCGACGAAGAGGCAGCTTTTTACTGAGCTGTCGAAGGTAGCTTTACACTAGATGAACAGGTGATGTGTACAGATTCTTTTCTAACGAGTCTTTTGTTGTTCTTTGAGCGAGCAATCGGTATTCGGATCTCCATCGCCATACGTACCGGAACGTCTTTTCCATCATCATCGATTGGTGTTTCAGGTTCACCATTTCCATTATCTATCCCACCTGTTGGTCGCAAGGTTGCAATGTCATCAGGCTATTTGTTGTGATAGCAACTTTCGAACTTTCGAACTTTCCTTGTTTTTTGACGGTGTTTTTTTAAATAGAGTGCGACAAGATAGTGATCCGAGTCGATGGCCGGTCCTCGGAACGTACGCACGTTAAGAACACTGAAGATATTTCTTTCGTCACACCGACACTTCGTCTAATACCAAAAATTCCAACTGGACACTCCCAGCTTAATGACAGCCAAATGGCCACATCTTCTAAGTATTTCATTGAAATTTCTTTTCGTTAACCAACAATAATTTTGCAAAACTTAGTACACAGGAGACATATCCACGATCAAGTGCTCAGACATTCTGTAGCTGCAAACTTGGAGCGATGTAGTTGTTCTTGCGAAGAATTTACCAACAAATATTTTAAGGTAACGTCCTTGTCTTTGAATTAAATTTTCATCCCAATCTTCATGAAGACAGTCGAATCCAGGATTAGGTGTATATGTATATGTACCTCGAAAGCGTGCGTAACAAAAGAGATACTCTTTTCTGTCAATGGAGGATCGCAAATGAGCGGAATATAAAAACTTTTAATTATACGCTACAAAGAATGGTTAGCATCAGAAGCCGCAGGAAGAGATTGCAATTACTTTTGAAAGTTGCTTTCCTTTTTTTTGTTCTGGAGCACTCTGACCTACTCTTATGCATCTCTTGGGCTCATGGTTTAAGGCCAAGCGGTTCCGTTGCCAATATCTGCTTATTTTAGAGCTGGATCTGGGTTACTTAACTAATAATGCCTTAGCAAAATGATTGATATTAATAAAATGCAAAAATCAGTTCCACAAGTAGTTGACGCCTTCATTATGCAGCTTGTTTAGCTTCTTTTTCTTGTTGCTAAATTCATAAAACACTCATCGCACCTATGGATAATTAGTTTGAATATGTATATGTGTATGTGCATGCATAATCTTTCAAGTGTCTATATACGGTTCGATTTTTTTTATAATAAAAAGTCTAAAAAGAAATATTTTTTCATATTCTTTGGAAATTCAAAGTACTAAATATTTTATGACATCCCATTTTCATAACTGATGTCACCACTGTTTAAATACAATACGTGTATTTCGAAAATTAGTAATATTCAGAAGAAGAATGTGAATGTACGTGTATCTGTCACCTATGGATATTACTTTTTATAGTAATATAGGAAACGAATATTATTAAAAAGGGAAATTAATCTATCTAATGATATGAACGGCCATTTTGCATACTGGTACCTCGACGTAAGGTGTTAGCGTACCACGCACTTGAGTGATATATGGTCAGCGTTGCTGAGTCCAGTACTTATTTATATGTGTATGTGACATAGAAGTATGTACATTAATTCATACCTATAAGTACATTTTTGTGAACAGATTCACTCAAATGATGATTGTCACCAAAATCTCACACTATAAAAGGGCAGAAGAGGCAATGAATGAATTAAAAGCCACTCGTATAAATATACATATACTCGTAATGTATCTCAGATGAGATGTATGAGATGGTCCCTTGTGATGCCAGATGGAGGTTCAGCCTAATTCGATTATAAGTAGTCCTCACTTTCTGCGAAGTCAACTTTGTTAATATTTTAATATTTAATTTTTATTACCAAAAATAAAAAAAAAAAACCGTCACGAATTATTCCACCGATTTGTATAATATGTTTTTTTTGTCGTCAACAGTAGTGGTTGCAACCAAAGCGAAATAATTAAAAATATGACAACAGCTTTTGAATTAACTACAATTATTAGCTAAAATTCTCTATTCACACAAATTCATCATTTATATATTTAAAATCGAGAAAACTAAGAACGCACTGTAACCTTCAATGTGTTTAATTTTCCAGGTCGGCTGTGCCTCGTGTTCAGAATATCTATACACGTATGCTAAAATCGAAGTAGACGTTATGCAAACACCCGTTGAAACATTTGAAACTTTACAAAACTATGCAAGAAGAGAAAGGCGCGCAGCTCCCAGCACATTGACCAAGCAATTTCAATGAGTAATCTCACCATAAGTAGCCGCCAGCTAAGTCAATTAAACCAACAAGATTTAAAGCATTCGCCATTCTTACGACGCCTAAAATACAGATAAATAAGAACTGAGCTTAAGGAAAAGCTTTCAATGTTATTCTAGTGAAAACGAAACCAACGCCAAAAGCTGCAAGTCGGGGAAGTCGAAAACTTTTTTACAAAAACAATATCCCCACAGACGTATCGATTTAATATCGATGTGCCTCATTAATGCATGACTGAATGTACTTATAAAACCGTTTTAATTTATATCGCAATCGAGTCAGGAAAATGTACCGACCGAACTTTTATGAATCCACGTGCCTTCGATGCAATGAAATCGTCTATCAAGTCGATCGCATTGGACCACTCAAGGATTTTACTTTCTTCCATTCCGGCTGCTTTAAATGCGTCCATTGCGGCACTAAGTTAACACTTAAAACCTATTTCAATAATCAGCATAAACAGGACGACAAGGAGGTGAGTAAATAAACAAAACCGAAACATTTAAAACATTTAAATAATATTTTACTTAAATTTGTTATTGCTTTTGCACTTGTATTTGCACTTTAAAACTAAATTTTTTCCTAATTATTGGAAAACCTGTTTACGTCCGAGTATAATATTTGCTTATCAGTATATTTTGTTGAATTTGTTCCGGATGATGAAGTTCATGTGGCGAGGTTTTGACTATGATTCACCTGGGAGTAGCTACAAATGATTACATTTGGTTCACGCAGCTCTCGACTTCTGATCTTAGACCAAGAGTATATGAGTTGCCAACAAATATCCGTTTGTTGGCGAACTAAAGTGAGAAGACCAGGACAGGAGAAGACAGGAGAAGGCAGGTCCTTGTGAATTATTAAAGCAGTTATATAAAGAAAGACAAATTCGGTGTTGGAATTCTGATGAGAAACCGGCTCCGTCGCCAAGTACTTGCAATGAGTGCTACATAGCTGTCGCCGGGTGGAAAATGTCTCAATCAAATCGATCATTAAGAAATGCTTTCACTCCGAGCACCTAACAAAGGATCGGATCACAATTTTGTCCGTGCTAGAAAAAAATATGGTGCGGAATGTCGAACTGAAGTAAAGTGAAAACCTATCTGCTGCCTACCTCGCAACTATGAAAAGCTTGAAGAGTTGGCTGACAGCGGTGTCGCCCAAATACTCTACGAAAAGTTGCAAGCAACAATGGAGGAACCAATCTGAAAATCTCTCTATCGAGCGTATTGCTTGAAATACTAACTGATTGTATCTTATCAGTGAGGCTTTGCGCCAAATTTTCGAAAAGACCCGTGAAAAAAAATAAAACCTTTTTCTTTTCTGTCAGTGTGACTCTTTATCGTGGGATTTCTTCAATATAATGATGGAGCAAATAGTAAGAGCTGTAGAGCTAAATTTACAAGAAGCAATCTTAAAAGAGAGTGTGCAACTGAATGCAGAATCACTCTTCCCAGCAGATACTACTTTGGATTGAGTAGGAAACTAAAAACTAAGGACCCTTTCGGGTTAGCTTCGACGAATAACGTGGACGGTGAAACGATACCCTCTGCCAGTTATACGGTGACATTGATTTAGTTCCGCGTATGAAGAGATAGCGACGACGCTGGCCAGGTCTCGCCATCCAAATGAATAAAAGCTCTCCAGTTTTGAAAGTATTCCATTCAGTGTCCGTCGGGGAAAGCAGAGGAAGGGTAAAGAAACCTCCGGTCCGCTTAAAGCATCAGGTGGAAAGAGACCTGGTTTCACTTGGCATTTTCAACTGGCTCAAAGGTGTTAGAAACAATAACGAGACATAGTTTTAGTATTTTTTTCTACAAATAGTGGTACATATATTTTAAGTCTTCTTTCCTTAAAAACATAGTCCCTGAGTAGGTTATTGGAGCTCATAATGTTGAGTGAGTGTGGAAGCTACAATGAGGCTAATAGTGATAATAGTTTCATAGGGCCGCAGATTCGAGAGGTAATGATATGAAATTATTGGTTCGAAGCAACGACAAAGCAACAAAAAAGCTGGCTATTGCCAACAAAATGGTGCTTTAGCATGAAAGATTTCTGTCTTGAAAGACTCGGCACTGTATCGGATGAGCATACAAATTGAAACTAAAATGAAAAATGGTCAATCAAAATAGAAACTTGTTTAATATTTTTGTGAAAAATATTCCAATACAAGCATTTTTAGTTTCCAAAGAGTTGCTTGGGAAAGGTGTGGAAATTTTACAGAGAGCCACCCGGCAGGTCAAGATTTTTCATTTGAATTATCCTCACGAATTGTTTCGCACAATTAAGGACACTGTGCAAGAGTAAGTGGCCTAGTCAAGTCAAAATTGAAATTTTATTCAAAAAATATCACTCATAAACTCAACACTTTTCTGATTTCATGAACCTTAAAATTAACGTCCATATTTCAATATAAAAATATATATGTATGTGCATGTGCATGTGCGCAAGTGAGTTGTGTAATAAAAAATCAATTTGGAGCTCATTAGCAAAATATCTGAAGCCTTACGAATTTAAAGACTTGAAGAATGGCTATGAATAAATGCCAAAATGGAAGAATGTTGCTAAAGTCAGAGAAGTGGGCCAAAACTGCTGTCTAACGATTGCTTATGTTTTCCATTGCTATATATGTTTGGCTTTAACAATTCAAAATCGCAAAATATATATTTACTGTGCGCATGCTAGCATATAGTTCGTATATATATATTTATATATATATATATATATATATATTGCTCACCTACATATTATGCAAACTTATACACCTGAATAAAAATCCACATATATGTGCACAACAACTGTATATGGATAAATGTACATATGTATCCGCATTTACCAACTTGCCTTGCACGGAAAACCTGAACCAGTTGCAATATTCGCGAACATACATACATACAAACGCACTACTCTTTGGGCCCCGTTTAAACCAGCGAGAGTCCAATCATTCAAAAGTTTTGTTGTTTTGAAGTAGTTATATTAAATTTCAGCTTTTCTTCAAAAGAGGTATCATTTAAATAGAACAAGAATAAATCGCAGCCAATGTATATACACGTATATGTACGTACAAGTGACTGTAGTTGTATAACCTTGAAATTAATTGCGAGTTATGAGTTCTAACCTAACCATAATTCTATACCTAATGGCAATGATGTTTTTTCTTCTTCGAGAGAGAACTTTCCTTTTTATTCGTACGCTCCTTCAAAAATACGTTGCACCTGCAATCATGTGCCGGAAATTAGAGAATGGGTTGAATAATTTGTCTTTTCTGCTATTTACTTTACCCGAATGCAATTAGACTAATTAAATTTCAGCTAATAAAATGTAATTTTTCTCATTTATTTTAGGTTTACTGTAGTTCACATGTACCAAAGAGTGGGCCTGGCCATTTGGATCAGACATCTGTGGGCATAAGGCAAGCTTTGAATGCGCCGCGTACAAACAAATACGTCAATGAACAAATTCGCGGAACACGGAGCGATGTTGACGGTGAGCTTTTTCACTTAACCAGATACATAATGTACATACATACATACATACATATATGATTACTTAGACATTTCTATTGCATGCATTCGCTCTTACAAAATGGCTCACTTTGCTATTCTATATACGTCATGACATAAAGGGTTTTCCAATGAGAGGTGTTGTCTTATATAGTCTGGTACTCCGATAGCTTCCGGTCATTTTGTAACTGTAATTTTTTAACATTTTATAAGTATAAAACTACTCCAGCAATAAAAATGGAACGATAAACGCTTCAACAACACATCGAAATTATTAAAATCTCTATACATACATATATAAATTTATAGCTCATACCAAATGTTAGACCTTGTTCGGACTATTTAGTCGATGGTTTTTGTGAAGTGTGCATAAAATCAGTCGAGCGGTGCTTCATTTACCAAATCTTATATACATATACAAATCTCCAAAAGTTACCGTGCCATGAAATTTCGTCAGATTGTGGACCAGGAACTAACCTGATCCCAAAAATCTTATTTATGGTTCGTTTTACTTGAAATTCGGTGCGTAGAATGCTTTTTGCTTAGATTAACAGGAAAAGTGGAGCAGTGTCAAAGATGAAACCAAAAGTATTGAGTAAATAAAGTTATGATAAAAAGATATCCCTTGATTAATTTTTCATGCACTCAATGAGTATGAGCGACAGCGAAGCGTGGCAGGGTAGAGCTGGTTCACCTAAATTTTACCGAAAAATCATTCCCACCTCGATATCTACGTCAATAAGCAAAACTGACAAGCCTCTTCATCCTCGACGTGTAACTGTTCAGAACGGTTTAAGCTTCGGCGGCGTTATTGAACCTTATTTTTCGAAAATGCCATATCTTCTTTTGAGGCCAACTGTAAGATAAGCTCTACACCAACAGGCCAATGTCGATTCAGTACCTCAAAGATGGAAATTGGGAAGCTATTTATGTAGGGCATAGAACAACCTCTTTGCGATTTGGTGAGGGAAAAATTCATAAAAGGGATACGGTCCTGAAAACGTAGCCGCGGCGGCCATTTGGCTGATATTGTTTACCATTATTATTCACATTCTTCTTTACATCCAATCAATTATCTCAAAAAATTTAATTTTTCTTAGAGTTTCAAAATAACACCTCTTATTGAATAACCCTATAGAAACAGCAATAAATACCTACGTATGACAGTCGCTTAAGCCTTGGACCATGTGGTTGAACACCCATCGTAGCGAGAGTAAAAACTACTAGTTAGACATTGGTCATTTAATTCTCTTTAACTGATATCTGTTACAAGGCATTTCGACGAACTGCTTGTTTTCAAGAAGAAGTAAGAGAACTCCATGCGCTCAGTGACCAGGAGACCATAGTTCCATATAAAAATTGAATTGATTTACAATATTCGCACTGTTTTGTTTCTACGCCCCTTACCATCATACAGCCACAAATAATGGCACTGCCTCGTCCAAACTTGAAAATGCCAACTCCATCAAATGCGGTCTGACCGTAAATGATTGATTGCGGTCTAATCAGAGTAAATTACTTCCTTTCAAAATACAGGAGCAACATCTGAAGCTGCTTAGTAAGCCGACCAATGAGTTTAGTAGAACGGAAGGAGCGGATTACCTACAGTCCGTCGAAATTTACCAAGTTGTTATGAATTTCAACTGCAGTGTCAACTTTTTGTTTTTGCTGTAGCAGAAGAATGCGGCAATTAACATCTTTGTCAAAGATTTTTCTTGGTCCGCTTGGGCATAGTTTTGCTGATTTTGATGATAACCAAGGCACGACAGTTTTACTTTTGGAGTAACAGCTTTCGAATACGCTCAACTGTTGTTGCGAAATAGTCTAAAGTAGAAATAATAATTCAATAAAGTGTTTTTAGTTAATCTAAAAAAAAAATATCTTAATTTATTTATCAGGAATGAGAAATAATTTTCGATAACTGTATTCGATTTCATATAGATATTTTAGTGAAATTGAAAATTTATTTGTGTATGGCATATGATGTGTAATCAATAAAAAGTTTATCATTTATTGTTAATATGTTTGTATGTGTTGGCAATCAATTTAACACATTTATTTTTCCATAATAACTTCACTCGTCAACGGCAATATCAACAGGTGGATTGGGTTCACGTCAATCGACACCAAATGGTTATGGCAGCAGAGATGTCAGCTCCCCGTCACAAAATGATTCCGATTATAAATATGGACGATTCGACGCGAGTGCATTGCATATTGCACACGCACTCAAGCAAACTGAAATACAGAAAGCCTATAATAAGATGAGAGAAAAACCAATAGATTTCTATTTGGTAAGCATACGTATTTTACTTACATAAATAAATATTTGATATATAATTTTTGTATATATATATATATATACATATTTAATTATGAATGCTTGTGCAACATTCATTTGCAGAGAAAGTGATTGTGTATAAATGTTTGCTGCTGCCTGAGTATTCAATCAAAGCATTTATGAATAATTCTTTTTTTAATCACGTGATTGAAAATATTTACCTAAACGAAATAAGCACATAACCCCAATTTTCGGTCAGAAATATACCAGTCTCATACTAGTTAAAATAACTAATTGATTTTCAAACCAAAATAGTCCAATGTTTATTAAAAAAGAGTAAATGAAAAATTAATTGATAATAGTTTATAAATACTTAATAAAACATTTTTCTATCTACATAATTTATCCAATTGCTACAAACTTTGGTGACTAACTAAAACTTTAATTTAAATGTATCGAGATGTATTAGGTAAAATAAAATTTGACAATGTCATACACCTTATTTAGTTCTTGAAATGATTACATTGAAAAACAAACTTACTTTTCCCGGGCGGCTTGATTTTAATATAAAAAAAATTTAAATAGTAAATTCACTAATCAACCGAATAATGCAGTCTAGCAGTATCTTTCATACTAGAGAGCGTCCATGAACCACGTAACTCGCTTTAGCTATAGCCTAGTCTCCTGGGAGGAGAAGTGAGCGTTGTTTTATTGAGATGAAATAAATATTTACCATAAGTTAAGGCACTGTTTTTAATAATTAGTGATTTATTAACGGTTACTTATCATTTATTAAGTTTGATGATATATTAAAATAAAAAATCAGTTATTACACATATTAATTATACAATAAATACGTAGTATAAAACGAAAGAGGAGTTAAACAAAACTACGACCCATCAGTCACGGTTGGGAGTAATCAAAGCAAATGCAACGTTAGGCTGCATGAAGGGAGGGGCCTACTTTGTTGTTTATGGACAATCCCTAGAACGACTTCGGTCAGGAAATACTATTGGTAAAATAATTGTATTATCCTCGTTTGAGAAAGTTGTCAACGAATAATTTTAGCTAAGTCATATTTTAATGGTAATATTTAGAAAGTTTGATATCTGTTAAAATCTTGGAATGTCTAATATTTCAGAGTCTTTAAGAATCTTTCATATCATTACCTTAATCAAACATTAGTGACCTTACTCCACTTAAGAACAGTAATTATTTTCTAATCAATATTATCATAATTATTTTCGTATTTTTCATATTTACATATGTACGTGTATATATCTACGTATTTATAAAATATGAAGTCATAAATGTTTGCCTGAAAGTGCAAATTATTAATGATCCATTTAATGTTACGAGCAGTTGTAGCGAATTTCTGCACGATATTTAAAGCATTGGTGAAAGCTCTTAAGTGTAAGCACGTAAGCAGATGAAAATCACGCAAATGTAATCTCTCAGTTGAGACGAGTTCGATAATCTCAAGCATTTAGTGAAAAGCTCCATTCAATAAAAACAACGCCAATTTGAATACAAATTTGTAAAATCTATGCAAATTGAAATTCGGATATACTCTAAATGTTATCACAGAAGAATAGTTTGAGGAAATAAATAAACTTAAAAATATAAAACATACTATTTTCGCCGCACCTATTCCTGAATGAAATTCTCAAAAACGACCCCCGCGCTGCTCAGCTCACTGCAATACTCCATAGCCTTTCGGATACCAAGCTTATATCAAAAAAGCAAGTTCAAAGAACAATAATTCATTCAAATTTTGTATTAATTTTATTTCAATTGTGGTGACACAAATACGCTTGCATTTTCACATACATATATATGTATATGTACGTATGTATATGCTCTGATGTGTTCGTATGGACACTTCTGTATATCTGTGCCCCTCCACTTCCTCCCCTTCGATGTGTTAACGTGCTGTAATACATGTGTTTGCATGCATGTGTGTGTCAGAGTGAAAGTGCGAACATCTCCTGAAATCGCTGCCACATGTTGGCGCGTGTGGCAAGTGACCACTAGTTGTGGTTTTACGAGTCATTACAACTACATTTCCACACAAGGCTTTCGGCGGGCATTGTACGCTTGTGCTCTCGATTTGTTCGACTTGTACATTTTTTTTTTTGTTTTCTCCTCCTCATTGGTTTCTGCTTTACTTCATTTTCACTTAAGTATTTTATTATTGTATTTAATGATATTTTCCACTGGTTGTTGCGGCAGGAGGAGTTGGATCGTTTTTTGTTAATTTTCTTAGGCCTCTTTCGAGATGTTGGCATTTAAGCTTTCGCGAACATTTGGAGCGCTCGCGGCGGCTTGACATGGGTCCGTCACAAAGGCACTGCCCATCATTACAGGCTGAATAATACTTAAAGATATTAACTCTGTTTGAAAGACCATAAAACGTTATTTTCGCACAACACTACTCGAAATTTCAGTCCTACTCTGCACACCCGTTAGATTTTTTTTTCGTGTATTTTAATTATATTTTTATTTTTCAAAATAATGTAAAAGTAATGATGATGTTTTTAGATTTCATTCAATTTTACTTTACAAGTAAAAAAATACGATTTTATTTGTATTTATTTAATATAATTAAAACAGATAGGGTGTGTCTGTATTTGTGTTTCAATTTCATACATTCATATGCAACCAGCTGATTTTGAAAATGTCTTCCACCTACCTCCTCTTCTTTCGATTTGATCCTGACTTTAAATACGAGGTGTGTTCAAAAAAATATCGCGAATTTTGTGTTTTTTCAAAAATTATTTATTTATTCATGAATATCTATTTTGTCCCCTTCAAAGTAATCCCCATGAGATATTATACACTTGTGCCAACGGTTTTTCCAATCTGCGAAGCACTTCAAAAAATCATTTTTTTTTATCTAGTTCATCGAAAGAGGCTGCCGTATAACGTCGTCCTTTCACGGGCCTCTTCAGTTTAGAGAACAAGAAAAAGTCACAGGGGGCCAGGATCTGGGGAGTACGGTGGCTGTGGGATCATTAGTGTGTTGTTTTTGGCCAAAAAGTCGCGCACAAACAACGATGTGTGAGCGGGGGCGTTATCGTGGTGCAAAAGCCAATTTTCGTTCTTCCACGAATCCGGGTGTTTCTGGCAAATTGCGCATAACTTACAGGTAATATTCCTTATTGACTGTTCTACCCTGTGGCAAGAAATCATGATGCACCACGCCCTGCAATTAATTGTCTCGTCTGTTGTTAAAGTGCTCGGGCGTCCGGCACGCTCTTCGTCGTTCACATCTTCTCGGCCTTCTAAGAAAATTGTGTACCACCGATAAACGTTGCTTCGGTCCAAGGTAGCTTCTCCGTTTGCCACAGTCAACATTCGGAATGCATCCGCGCACTTAATTTCGTTTTTCACACAAAATTTGAAACAGGTTCTTTGATCCATTTTTTTTTGAATAGATAAAAATCGAAGACCATCCAAAACACGTGCAAGCAAAGCAGCTGCCAACAATTAAGTGAACATTCAAATGGCCGAGCTTGTCGGCATAAGTGACAGAAATGAGTACCAACATAACGCAAGAAAAAAAACAAAATTCGATTTTACATAACCCGCGAAAATTCAAAATTCGCGATACTTTTTGAACACATCTCGCACCTATTTCCGATTGTGGCGAAGCGGAATAGCCCTCATTACAAGAAAGAGGAAGTACATAAGTCTTTACCGACTAAAAATGTCTAATATTAAAAATTTTTTTTCTGTATTATGCCACGGAGTATATTCTTATATTATCCCAAAGCATCATAGTCGCTAATAGCTCAACCATCTATCTGACGCAACTCCCTTCCATGCCTACTGTCAGACGTCCAAAGTTAGGGCCGTAGGATATAACGGCAAAATTAACTGTTTTGCTGCAACTGTCAGTGTGTGCGTACACTTTCAAACAGACTTATAATTTCCGTATGTTCAAACCTAAAGTCCAGCTTTCAGTTCTTTAGAAATTAATTTTGAATACCGTAATCTATTCAAATGTATTTATGAAAATACATTATATATTTGTAATCCTGTACTAAGTATTAGAGTAAAGTTCTTGATTCCTTTTTATGGCCGTCGTCAGTGTAAGTTCCAAGCGATGGTTGCTTCCGTGGAAGAGTTTAGATTTATTTATTTTGTGACTAAGTTTTTCAGTAAATATTAATCGTTGTATATAATATCTCCGTCCTACTTATTTGACTGTCGTACGTATTTTTCACTAGAGCTTTGCGCAGTGAAAATTTGTTTTTATGATATTAAATAAGTCATGCAGAGATGAGTAGAGCTTCATGTATTTCTCTTAACCAAACTTTAATTGTACTAAACTGAAATGGACAATAGACAGTATAGTGTTAGAAATATAAAGATCCTTATAAAATTTAATGAGCTCTTCCGAGGTGGCTTAGGAAAAGCTGTAAGTAGGTAATGGAACTAATTAACAATTTGCTAAATCTATATACTCGTATATAAAAAGCTTCGTCCTAAATGGCTGATGGATTAACTCGCAAAATTTTCACTGCGGCTATTTTCGGCTATGGCTGGAAACATAGAGGGTGTGTTCTGTGTATGGAGTAGACATCTGTTAATAAAGGGATTTTCGAGCAGTGGACCTGGGCCATTTACAGTTCGATTTGTTTGAAACTTAGAATACAGATAGCTCTTTATCTAGTTTAATATGCGGGATGTGGACTCTGGATCGTCTAATTTAATACTTTATAAATAGAAGGATAATAAATCAAAGCAAATATGGGTTGTCCTGAGCTTGACGTTCCTGATGCAGCCTTATGCGTAGTACTTTGCAAGCTACTCTTACCAATTTCACGGTCTTGTGTGGAATCAAAAATTAGAATGATTAAATAAGTAATTTAAAAAATTAATATTTTATATTAGTTAAAGAACAATTAGAATTTTTAATCGTTAGTTGATGATATTTTGTACTAAAAAATATAATGTGAGGAGCGTTAATCTCTTGCCTCGGTAGTGTTTGAGCACATGTCGAAGACG